GCCTAGACCCTAGGGTCTAGGCCCGAAACGTCAGCCTTCCTGCTCTTCTGAAGCTGCTTGGCCTGCTGTGTTCATCCAGCTCTACACCTTGTTATCTCAGGTAGTTGGTTATGTTGGTTAAGAAGGCATATGTGATACCTGTCTTTCTTAAACAAGGCATTGAACATTAGATCAAGGAGGTTATGATGGAGTTGTATAGGGCTTCGGCTGGGCCACAGCTGAAGTACAGTGCTCATCTCAGGTTCCCACATGATAGCAAGGATATGTTGGCACAAGAGTGCGAGGAGAGGAGAATCACCAGGATGTGCCTGGGCTGGAGCGTTTCAGCTTTGAAGAGAGACTGGACAATTGGGGTTGTTTTCCTGAGAGTAAAGAAGGCTGAGGTGGTTCCTCATTAAGGTGTACAAAATTATGAGGGACATAAACAGTGAAGAGAGGATGAAACATTCCTCATTCGGAGAGGGGTCAATAACCAGGGGCCATAGATTTAAAATGAAGGGTACGAGGGGATTCACACAGATATTTTTTACCGAGCGATAGATGGGTATCTTCAACTGAAAGAGTTAAATAGAGTAGCATGGGAAATAGGAGCAGGAGTAGGCCATGTAAGAATAATCGGGTAGTTATAATAGGGGATTTGAACTTCCCAAACATAAACTAGCACTGCTATAGTGTTAAAGGCTTGGATGGAGAGGAATTTTTTAAGTATGTCCAAGAAAATTTTCTGATTGAGTATGTGGATGGATCCACTAGAGAAGATGCAAAACTTGACCTCTTGTTGGGAAATAAAACAGGGCAGTGACTGAGGTGTCAGTGGGGGAGCACTTTGGGGTTAGTAACCAGAAATTGGGATGGAAAAGCATAGACCGGATCTAAAAGTTAAAGTTCTAAATTCGAGAAAGGCCAATTTTTGATGGTATTAGGCAAGAACTTTCAAAAGTTGATTGGGGTCGGATGTTTGCATGTAAAGGGACGGCTGGAAAATGGGAGGCCTTCAAAAGTGAGATAACGAGAGTGTGGGGACAGTATGTTCCCATTAGGGTGAAGAGCAAGGCTGGTAGGTGTAGGGAGTGCTGGATGACGAGAGAAATTGAGGTTTTGGTCAAGACTGAGAAGGAAGCATATGTCATGTATTGACAGCAGAGATTGAGTGAATGCTTAGAAGTGTATAAAGGCAGTAGGAGAATACTTAAGAGGGAAATCAGGAGGGCAAAAAGGGAACATGAGATACCTTTGGCATATAGGGTTAAGGAGAATCCAAACAGATTTTATAAATACATTAGGGACAAAAGGGTAACTCGGAAGAGAATAGGGCACCTTAAAGGCTGCCTATTTGTGAAACCGCAGGAGATGGGGGATATACTAAATGAGTATTTTGCATCAGTGTTTGCAGTGGAGAAGAAAATGGAAGGGATAGAACATGGGGAAATAAATTGCGACATCTTGAAAAATGTCCTTATTACAGAGGAGGTGGCGCTGGACGGTTTAAAATGCATAAAGGTGGATAAATCCTTGGGACCTGATCACCTGTACCCTGGACCCCTGGGGGAAGCGAGGCAAGTGATTGCTGGGCCCCTTACTGAGATATTTGTATCACCGATAGCTACAGGTGAGGTGCCAGAAGACTGGAGGTTGGCTAATTTGGTGCCACTATTTAACAAACGCTACAAGGAAAAGCCAGGGAACTACACACCGGTGAGCCTGACATCAGTGGTGGGCAGGTTGTTGGAGGGATTCTTGAGGGACAGGAATTCCATGTATTTGGAAAGGCAAGGACTGATTAGGGACAGTCAACGTGGTTTTGTGCGTGGAAAATCGTGTCTCACAAACATAATTGAGTTTTTTGAAGATGTAATGAAGAGGATTGATGAGGGCAAAGCAGTGGACAACATCTATATGGACCTCAGTAAGGCATTCAACAAGATTTGGTGGACTGGTTAGCAAGGTTAGATCACATGGAATACAGGGAGAACTAACCATTTGGATACAGAACAGGCTCAAAGATAGAAGACAGAAGGTGGCGGTGGATGTTTGCTTTTGAGACTGGAGATCTATGACCAGCGGTATGTCACAAGGATCGGTGCTAGGTCCACTGCTTTTCATCATTTATATAAATGATTTGGATGCGAACACTGGAGGTATGGTTAGTAAGTTTGCAGATGACACCAAAATTGGAGATTTAGTGGACAGTGAAGAAGGTTCCCTCCGAGTACAACGGGATCTTGATCAGATGGGCCAATGCGCCAAGGAATGGCAGATGGAGTTTAATTTAGATAAAGGTGAGGTGCTGCATTTTGGAAAGGCAAATCAGGGCTGGACTTATACACTTAATGGTAAGGTCCTGGTGAGTGGTGCTGAACAAAGGGAGACCTTCGAGTACAGGTTCATAGTTCCTTGAAAGCGGAGTAGCAGATAGATAGGATAGTGAAAAAGATGTTTGGTATGTTTGCCTTTATTGGTCAGTGCATTGAGTATCGGAGTTGGGAGGTCAAGTTGCAAGACATTGTTTGGCCACTGTTAGCATACTGCATTAGTTCTTGTCTCCCTGCTATCGGAAGGATGTTGTGAAACTTGATAGGGTTCAGAAAAGATTTTCAAAGATGTTTCCGGGGCTGGAGAGTTTGAGCTACAGGGACAGGCTGAATAAGTTGGGGCTATTTTCTCTGGAGTATCAGAGGCTGAGGGGTGACTTTGTAGAGCTTTATATAGTTATGAGGGGCATGGACAGGATAAATAGATAAAGTCTTTTCCTTGGAGTGGGGGAGTCAAAAACTAAAGGGCATAGTCTTAAGGTATGAGTGGAAAGATTTAAAGGGGACCCGAAGGGGAACTTTTTCATGCAGAGGGTTGTTCCTGTATTGAATGAACTGCCAGAGGAAGTGGTGGAAGCTGGTACAATTAGAACATTGCAAAGGCATTTGGATGGGTATATGAAAAGGAAGAGTTTAGGGGGATACGGACCAAATGCTGGCAAATAGAACTCGATTAATTTAGGATAGCTGGTCAGCTGGTCTGTTTCCATGTTGTATATCTCTATGACTCTATAACTCTGGCCCTTCGAGCCTGCTGTGCCATCCATTGTGATCATTGCTGATTGTTCATCTCACTATTTTGTTCCTGCTTTTTCCGTATACCCTTTGTTCCAAAGCAGATCAAACCCCCTCAAAATATATTAAGAAAATAGTCTAAACTTTAACTGAAATAACTGCGCAGAGGCCAGGATCTCGTCATCAAGTCACCCTTTATTTACTTGTGCACAGTACACTGGCTCGGAGTCAGTCCCTTGAACTGAGGAGATTCTGAACCCCTGTTAATACTGGTCAGCCAGTGCCTCCTGATTGGCTCAGGTTAACAACCTCAATCAAAGATCTTGTACCCAACAAGATCCACCTGGTTCCATTCACTGTACCAACGTTTTCTTATTTTAAAGATAAGTGTAAGGTGTTGCGTTCAAGATGCAATTCAATTGTTCAAACTATGCAATGTAAAGCAAAGCACGCCTTCTTATTATACTACGGTTAAAATACAGACAAAATGAAAACAATTCACTTCACTGTAACTCTATCGAAATGCTCAACAAAATAATAGATATATTAACTGCTTCTAATTAACTGTTCCAATATAGTAACATCCCATAAACACACCCTTGGCAAAGGAAAATTCATTAAAATAGATTATCTCACATGCAACTTGACCAGCAGGAAGACAACTCCAGCTTTTAGCTGTAACAGAGAGAGGAACAAGAGCTTCCACATCCAGCTTCAAAACCCCAACACCTGCAGAAAGCTAAAGCTAAAAATCCTGGTTCTGTGCCCCCCCCCGCCAACCATTCAGGCTGCTTCTATTATTCCAACTTCTTTTAAAAAAGCCGAAGTCCTCAGAAAATGTTTACTTCAAAATTTTAAAATGTTTACTTCGTTGGCTTTGAGCAGACTGCTTGCTACCTCTGTCTCAGTGTTTTGCCATAAAAAATCCCAGGACAAAATATATCTCCTAAAGCTGTTGCATCATCACACCTTTGATTCCTTTTATTCTTAGAATTATATCCATCTCCTTGAAAACATTCGATGTTTAGGCATCATTTGCTTGCTAAAGCAGAGAATTCCACAGGCTCATCATTTTCTGGGAGAAGAAATTTCTCCTCATCTCTGTCTGAAATGGATGAGCCTATATTTTAAAAGTGTGAGCCCTGGTTCTGGGCACCTTGGTGATGAGAAAGATGCTTCCTGTGTTTACCTGGTTTATTTCTGTTTGAATTTTGGAGCTGAAAGGTAGAGGCAGGAGCCATCACAACATCTAATAAGTATTTAAATTAACACTTAAAATGCCACACCTTAGAAGGCCCTGGACCTCGTGCTGAGAAATGAGATGAGAGGAGATACATATTTGTTGACCAGCGCAGAGGGCCGAAGTTTCATGTTGTAATACTCTATGACTGTGACCCAAATGTATTTTTCTTCAGAGGACCATTTGTTTCACAATGCAAGTATCCTGGATTTGAAGCAGTTACCATTGTTTTGTAAAACTATCTTTTAATGAACAACAAAAATCATTGCAGAACACGAAATTGTAGAAGATATTGATGTGTTTCTTGGCGCAGGCTCCTTGGACAATGATCAGAAAGTTCATATTCGAGTTTTGCAGACAATTTACAAGAAACTAACTGGGTCTAAGTTTGACTGTGCACGTTATGGATCACATTGGGAACAATTAGGGTTTCAAGGTAAGGATAAGGAAATATTCTGGTTGACAGTTTGTTTGTGTTGTGATCATACCTTGGTATTTCAGGCTGGGGCTCAGTTGGGAACTTTATCCTGGATTTGCCAGTAGTGAGACAGATGTTGTTCCAGTGTCATTGGGGGTTGCATGTGAGTATCCTGTGAAATCTCTGTCGTAGTAGACTCTGAAGGAATTGCTTTGGAAATTGAACATTCTGCTGGGCCATTTCCCAACAACTGGAACCATCTGAAACGCTCCATTCAAATCTGAGAATTCAGAGGGTTTTGACGAAATTAAGTAAATGGTTACTTAGGAGAACAAGCTGATCAAGTACCTTGTCAAATGCCTGAGTAACTGTTCAGTTGACCCCCAACTTAACTCACACACCCCACCAATCCCTCCTGACCTGTCACCCCCTTTGTCCCCCGAGAGCTGAAAGCCTCTTTCCCAACTCTCGACCAGGTATTCCCTTCCCTGAACCTGATCCTGACACATCCTTAAACCCCTTCTTGATCCGACCTGCGGGAGCTGCCTTCCAATACCTTCCACGACTTTGGACCCAAGGCTCCTTCACTGTGAAAGTTGACCCACCTCCCACGTTGCTCTGGACTTGCTATCCCTTTCCCTAAATTTACTATCCCTTTCCCCATTGCTGGACCCTCGTTCCATTCAGAACCATCTTCCCTGTAGCTGCTGTGGATTTGATAATTCTCCATCTTCCCAGCTCCTGGCCCTCCATGCCCTTTCCACGTGACCAGTGAAGTGTCAGAATGGAACTATGGCTGTGCATTTCTGCTGAGTTCCTGATCGGAATCTCCTGTCAGACCTATTGAGCTGTTTCCTTTCACAGGACCAGAGTGGCAACTTGCATGACATTACCACTTCCTGGATAATGCAGCCCATGTGTTCAATTGGCAGTGTTAATCATGTCAATATGTAACAAAGAATACATTACAAAAAAATGTTTACACTGAGCTTGAAAGCATGTTGCAACCAGTGGCTGGAGGTATGGATACGTAACAGTTTTTTAACAGTGTTAGACTGAAATTTGATGTGTTAAACTGTTTTATATGAAAGTGTGTTTATGACATGCGTAAAACTCTTGTCATCTCTTCAAATTATGTCTGATCAATAACAAAACTGAAAATGTGCTTACATAAAAAGTTATGAACTACGAGAGCAAACTAGTAAACAAGTTTGACTTCTCTTTTTGCCTATGAATTTTGTACTGTTACTAGGTGCAGATCCAGGGACTGACCTACGCGGGACAGGATTCCTTGGTCTGATGCACACCTTGTACATGGTGATGGATTTGCAGACTTTACCTTTGGCTCGTGATATTTACAAATTGTCACAGCATCCGATACAAGTTAGTCAACGCTTCCAGTTTTAATTTGGTTGAAAATTTCTCAAAGAGTCTGTTTTGGATAAGGCCACACAAACCTTTTTACTCATACTGAATTCTGCTGAATACACAGATTAAGTTTGTTAAAATTAATGAAGTTAAGCTGTCAGATACACTGGAGTTTTGGAATACAGCACCAGGCATGGTGTCCGAGGCTTTTTTTTCTGAGAGGAAGCATAAATGTAGAATATAAGTATCTCTGATTTCTTTCAGATATTAATGGACTGGTTCCATTTTTTTAAATGACACACCATTTTGAGGTTCTGAAAGATTTGATGAAAGAGTTACATGAATTCTGCCCTTTGCTGAGATGATGTACAATGAGTATCTTTTCTGTACAATGTTTGCTTTCACTTTGACCATATTTTCTTTGTTGCAGAATTTCCCTTTCTGTCTCATGTCCATTAACATCACCAGAATCACTATCCAAGCTTTGAGGGAAGAATGTTTATCCAAGTAGGTGACATAGAATAATCTCAGATTGTTCCTGTCAGATGAGAGGGCAATTAGAAATTAAACATTGAAACAAGAAAATTGTTGCAAGTGGATGAATTTCTTCTCCATTCTTCCAAAAAAATACCAATGCCAATAAACAGTTATCATCCTTGTGGCTGACAGTTGTGAGTCGCCATCTGTCTTACTGACGTTGTATTTTACAAAGTCTCCAATTGACTGTTTATTAATATATGGATAATGAATTATGCTTGAAGAATTAAGAAAACTACAGTGAAAATATTTCATCTATTCCCTGCATTCAGTCCACCCTTAAGCAACATGGTAAGGCAGACAACTCCCAGAAACACAATGGGGCAGTTGCCTCTGACTCGTTAACACTAACAGGTGACAGAACATTTGGCTGCCGAATGGCACATGGAGGAGAAAATTGGTTTCATTGTGGAACTGGTCAGCCAGAAAACCAAGAGGCTTCTCTTTGTGCCTTCAGGTTTTTTAAACTGGTCAGTCTTCCAGATATTTTCTCACCAACCTGTTGAGCGATAGTATGACACATGTCTGGATCAGGTGGGACTTGAACCTCGGCCTCATGACTCAGAGGTAGAAACACTACCACTGCATCACAAGAGCCCTGATCATTCTTGCAGCTCCTTCTGCCCACCAGTCTCACCTATTTCCCCTTCATATCTGCCCAGTCATTGATTGAACAATTAACTCCATTCCCTCGCTTAATTACTTGCTATATTAACAATGGGAACCAAGTTGTGATGAGAGAAAGTTAAAGATTTGGAACTATAAACTTTAAAGACCATTACTGTGATTCTTTTAAATTCTGGCTGAGTTGTAAATGCTGTGTGTTTTGTGACAGAGAATGTAACCGAAGGCAGCAGGTGATTGGAGTCCTTAATGATTTCTATGTGGCTGCATTCCTGCATCTTTATCAGATATGGAAAACACAGCACAAAACCATCTCTGATTCAGGATTTGTTCTTAAAGGTGAAAAATTGAGTGCAAGATATACTTCTCTGAAATCCTTTTGACTTGTATTCGATACTGCATTGTTAGTGGGTTGAGGGAATCTTCAGACTTGTTCATAAGGTTGCATGTTAAATGCCTGAAGTAAGGAAAGGAACACTTGAAAAGCCGCAGCTAAGTGCTCAGTAAATTCAGAATGGGTCTCGCAGCTGATGGTTTTCATGATATGAAAAGCTCCAAATGTAAAACATTGAACTGCTTGCAACAGATTAGTGAAAGCCTGGGAAGGGACATAAGGCTTCATACAAATTGGAAAATCATTGTTGCTTAGTTTGCTTAGATAGTTGGCACGCAGTCAAAAGACAATGAGACTTTTTTTTGTTCATCGGATGGGGGTGCTGCTGACTGGGCCAGCATTTATTTCCATCCTTGTTTGCTGCTTGGACTGTCTGGGTTGTGAGGGACATTTCAGATAGCAGTGCAGAGTCAACTACACTATTGTGGATCTGGACTCAGACTTGGGAAGGATGATGGATTTCCTTCCTGTAAAGACATTCGTGATCCAGATAGATTTTACAACAATCAACAACTGACTTGGCGAGCTTTTAAATCCAAATTTTAATTGATTCAGATTTCACCATCTGCTGGATTCTGAGTCCAGTGTCAGTTTTTTTATTGCCAAAAAATATACTTTATTCGTTTAAAAAAATCTTCCAACTGCATTCACTGGGCAGTTCCATACAGTCTTTGCATATCAAGAGAAACCAACATTGGAATTTGACATTCCCTGCAGTTACAAAAGCCAAAGACATTTCTTATGCAGGACACTGTTTACATACGTACAACGAGAGGGTCTGATAACTGAACAGACCCTTGTTATGCTTTGGCAAAAAGACCTGAGATAGTGGTGTCTCCCCACTGTGTCTTGGCAGCAGCTGCCCAAGCTTTAGTGCTTCCTGGACGTTGGAATGTGCCAGTCTGCAACACTTGTTTGAGTTCACCTCTTCACACTGGAAGACCAACAAGTTTCAGGCAGACCAAAGAGCGTCTTTCGCTGAGTTGATGGTCCTCCAGGTGCGGTCAATGTTTGTCTCGATGTGTGCCCCAGGGAACAGCCCGTGGAGCAAAGAGTCCTGCGTTACAGAGCTGCTCGGGACAAACCTTGAGCAAAACCTCTCTCTCCAGACCTTATTTGCAAAGGTGCATTCCAGAGGTAATGAGTGACAGTCTCTTCACCAGTGCAGCTGCTTTGAGGGCAGCGTGCGGTGGCGCACAGAGACCGGGTGTACATGAAGGATCTGATGGGCAGTGCCCTTCTCACAACGAGCCAAGCTACATCTTGGTGCTCGTTGGAAAGTTCTGGCGATGAGGTGTTCTGCCAAATGACTTCGTCGGTCTGCTCAGGGAACCATGTTACAGGATCCACCTCTCCTTTTGCCACAGGGTCTCAAGGACGCTATGTGCTGACCACTTCCTGATAGACTTGTGGTCAAAGGTGTTTTTCTTTGCAATGACAACGCCACTACACCATTGCCTCCTTTGAAATGGAGCTGAAAAGAGTAGAAATCACTAATATAATATGTCTGAAATTCCATTTCACCTTGTGCTTTAAATTATTGCTTGAAAATTTTTCCTGTTTCCTTGCAGGAGTTGAAATGTTTGCCAAAAAAAACCCAAAACAACTCCTGAAAAGGCTGGAAACTTACTTGTTGGAACGTCAGAATGGAACGGTCTTGCCAGCCGACAAGGTGTCCTCAACTTCAAACCACACTCTGACTGGGATGAGATCAAAATCAACATCTGTCATAAACACCAAAGAGATGAATTTTATGGGTGTGTGTGAGCTAGAGCCAGAACCTGAGGGCGAGGTGCAGCTAATCTGAATCTGTTGTGAGTGATGAAAAGTGAGAAAGATAATCAACGTCGCCTTGTAGCAGGGATGTGACACTTGACTGTTTCACCATTACGGCATGTAGTACATAAATACTGGACATTATATGTTGCCATAAACCCCACACAACAAAAATAGAACAATTGCTTTCCTGCCTAACAGAGGCTTGCAAATGTGTAAATGTTGTAGGTGTGTCATCCTAGCTGAAAAGATATTCAGCACAATTCTAACTTGAGTGCTCTTGCCAAATAGTTCTAGTAAACAGATGCTTTTCTGCTTCCTTTTGAAAACAATAGTGCCAGACTCTAAGCAGGAATGCAGCCCCTACTCAGGAGAGGAGAATGTCTTTGTTTCTTTCAATAGAGGTGCAGCCTGTGCTAAACATTGTTTGTACTGTACATTTTAAGTAATGCAAATTAGCTTCATTTCTGAGTTTGTGTTGTGAGTACCAATAGAGAGAGTTTAAAGATTTTATTTCCACTCCGACATAATTAAGGAGAGGCAGTTAAATGGCTTGGGCTGAATGAAGAAATTTTACTTTCAGGATGGTTCCCTTCTCACCTGATTCTAACTTAACCATGCAAGTTGGTTGTATGTTATATATGAGATACAGAAAATTATCAACAGGCATGTGATTTTTGTTAGCACTACATGATTTGACAGTACCTAATCCATTCTCTGTCACCATTCCACAGAACCTGTTCTGAGCATAAGCTGTAGGCCACTTGAGTGAGCAAAAAAACATGTTCAAACTTATGAAAATGCTCGAGTTTATAATAAAGTAAATATCCAACCATTAGTTGCTAATGACAGGCTTATTACATTTAAATAAACATCTTTTGTGTAGCCCAATCATTGAGCATTTTGCATCATGTTCCTTTTAAAAAAGATGCTCCAAAGTATCCATCTGGTCAAAGGCACTTTCATGGTGCTTTGTGTTCATTTTTAACTATTGGTCTTATCAGTATGTAGTTTCCCCTCCTTCAACTCTCATTACTGATTGCGAAATAAATTACATTAGCACTCCTCACCTTCAATCAAACAAGTGGTGAGCCTGCCATCCTGTCTCATTATTCATCAGTTCTTTGTGCATTAAAAATTGGAGCTGTCAAAAACCTTTTTGTTGGGTTCATTTTTATTCTTTGTGTTAAATTTTAATTCTAAATTGGACTGTTTCACTGTCAACGTCTCTGAACAATTGCTAAAAGCCATGAAGTGTTTTTATTTTCACTCATCTGTTTCTGGAAGAAAAGAAATTTTAGTGATCCCTGCCTTTCCCTAATCTATAAATGACTGGCCTCAGTGACTACTTAATAGGATTAGCGATTAGTTTGTACCCTCATTGTCAGTCACTTGTGTGCACCATTTTGTTGAATCTGTGGGTAGTTTGGAGCTGTTAAGGATCTGCCATTTTTTTCATTTTAAGAAGAAAAGAATTTTGAACTCACTTTCCAAGAGGAGGCCATTCTGGAGGCCCTCAACAAGAGCAGATCACCTCCTGCACTTTTTTTGGCTCACTCATGTGACCTGGTGTCACTGGCTGGCCAGCATTTATTGCTTATTCCTAGTTGCTCTTGAGTAGTTGGTTGTGAATCGTGTTGTCCACTTGATGTAGGCTGACCCACAATGCCCTTCTGGAAGGAATTCCAGAATTTTGACCCAGCAAGAATGAAGGAATGTCAAAATATTTCCAAGTCAGGATGGTGAGTGGCTTGGAGGGGAACTTGCAGGAAGTGGAGTCCCCATGTATCTGTGGTCATAAGTTTGGAAGGTGCTGTCTAAGAATCTTCAGTGAATATCTGCAGTGCCTCTTGTAGATAGTATACACTGCCACCACTGAGCATTGGTGGTTGAGTGAATTTTTGTGGATGTGGTGCCAATTAAGGAGGCTGTTTTGTCCTGGATGGTGTCAAGCTTTTTGACTGTTGTTAGAGCTGCACTCATCCAGGCAAGTGGTGAGTATCCCATCACTCTCCTGACTTGTGTCTTGTGGGTGGTGGACAGGCTTTGGGGAGTCAGGAGGTGAGTTATCTGTCTGTCTTTTCCCTGAAGCCCTGGAGATGTTTTCTGTTCATGTACTTAGCCAATTCTATTCCAAAGAATCTTTGCCACATCCTCCCTACTCTTTTACATCTTTCCTAAAGTGTGTTGCACAAAATTGTGTACAATATTCCAGCTGAGACCAAATCAGTTTTGTTTTTTTTTTGCATTGCATAATTTCATTGCTTTTATTCTCTATTCCACTACATATAAAACTCAGGATCCTACATACTTTATTAATCAGCTTATTTTGAAACATCCAGACTCTTGAGCAGTACATTTACAACCACTGGCCCGCTTCCTTTCTCCCCAACCCTCACCCTTACAACAACCAGAAAACTGCCCTAAAGAACTCTTTCAAGTCAAGTATTTTAACAGGTGATGTTGACAATCAGCAATGTCTGGCTGTGTTAATCTCCAGCAAGATGCCTTTGCAAACACAGATGTTCCCAAGATATGTTTTTTTTTGCCAAACTGCTCTTCAGTTCTGAATTTACTTGAGTGGAATGTGTCCTTACAAGGTGAGTGTGCATTCGATGCTAGCTGAAAAATATCTGTATGTGGAAGGTTGGCAGACTTAACCATGTGATCAAAAATAACATTCACTTGAAGAATTTATCAAGTGTGATAGTTGCTGGGTGACGTTCAGGGACATTGAGCTGCACCGTGTCTGGAGAAAGGATATGGAGCATTACAATATCGGGTTCAAGGGCTGCTGCGTACGCAATTGTCACCAGCAGAGTAAAGCAAGGAATTCATAGCAGCTCAAAAGAGTCAAATTTGGTGAGAAATTGTTCACAGAAGGTTGAGAGTAGTCGGGACAACATTGCTTGTGAGATTTGGTTGTACATGCAATCTTTACTTATTGTATCTGTCTATAGACAGGTCCAGATCTGAGGTGAGATGAAGACACTTCACAATGTTTTGAAATTGAGGGCTTGGTCAATTTAGTGATTGAAATAGATTTTGTATTTGAACAAAATTGCACGTGGATCCAAAGGCCCTTTCTGAATCTGAATGTAATAATTGTGCAGAAACTAAGTGTGTCCTGGGCATCTATGAAAATCTCTTCAATCCTTTTCATTAATCTCTGGGCTATTGAAGTGATTATAGGTAATGTGATATTGTTTCAAAACTCTGACTTTTTATTAACAGGTCTCAATTATTATATAGTTTTCCTTTGCACAAAGTCGCGGGTTAATTCATGTTTTATCATAATCAGGATTTCACTAACCAGCACTGTGATTGGTTGTATTGGAGATGTAATGTTAACACTGTACTTGGATGTTATGGTAATATAGCACTAAACATTTTTATTTTTGCATCCATTAAATTTTATGTTTTTAAAATAAAAAAACGACTCTGCAGCTATTAACTGTTTCGGTAACATCATTGCATTAACCAAATGGAAGAGACTACAAGTTTGGCATTTTTGAAATACTGTCCTCTGGTTATTGTTTCAGCTGTTTAAATAAGTACGTTAAGCTCATGAAAAAGGCTTGGTTTGGGAAATGCAACACAACAAAAACAGTACCAAAACTTGAATTGTACAATTTATATTTGAATTTTTCAACGGTAGTTCTGGTATCACTAAGTACTTGCTACTTCGGTTGCTGAACTGACAGTTTGAGGAGACATCGAAGTTAGGAGCAGGCATGGGCCATTCAACCCCTTGAACCTGCACTACCATTCATTATGATCGAGAACAGAATATGAAAGATAATTTATGGTAGTTAAGAAAGCAGCAGAAAGCATGAAGCATAGAGTCCTTTTTGTAGAATAGAATCCTAGAATCCTGATTGTGTGGGAGCAGGCCATTTGGCCCATTGAGTCTACACCGACCCTCCAAACAGCATCCTACCCACACCCAACTCCCTACCCTATCCCTGTAACCTTGTATTTCTTATAGCTAATCCACCTAGCTTGCACATCTCTGAACACTATGGGCAATTTAACGTGGCCAGTTCACCTAACTTGCAAGTCTTTGGACTTGGGGAGGAAACCAGAGCACCTGGAGGAAATCCACACATACATGGGGAGAATGTGCAAACTCAACACAGACAGTCGTCCAAGGCTGGAATCAAACCCAGGTCCCTGGTTCTCTGAGACAGCAGTCTAACCCACTGTACCGTGAATGTGAAAAACTCATGGGATTGACAGTATTTTGGAAGTACATTTCAGCAGTTATCTTCAGATGGACAAACTTGACCTTGCTTTGGTTTTGGGGGGAAGATGCAGAGAAGAAAAATGCTTGACACCCTCAACGGTTGAGTTTTAACATCATGATATTTGAAGACTGCTTTCATGTTCTCGTTCTGTAACCATTTACGGGTCTTCTAGACCGAATGACATTTGTTTCAACATCTTTGCCTCATAATTTCACTTTGGGCAATAATCATTCCAGACCTCTACCCTATTTCAGATTGCATCCTTTTGTTCTTTCCCTATTCTTGGTTCCCACACTTTTCAGCAATTTACACTGGCAAGATCCTTATTTAACAGATCCCGGATGTTTCTCGTTTCCTCAGTTTTGATGAAAGGACACGAATCCGAAATCTTAACTGTTTTCCTCTCTCCACAGCAGCTTTCTGACCTACGCGGTGTTTTGTTTTCATTTCAGATTTTCACCTCTGCACTATTTGGCTTTTGTTTCATGGATTCTTTATTGTGACCTGGACAATTTGATGCTGATGACACGATTCACTTGCCAACAAAACAAATCTGAAAGGTGACAGCACAGCAGCAAGTACCCTTGCGTGCATCTCGAGCAGCTTTTTGACCAATGTGTTATCTTTCTTCTGATGCTGAGTATAACCAAATTTGGTTGTTTGAAATCTTTCCAAATCTTTTCTCATGTTTCCATAACAATTCTCAGTTTGGGTGCTCTGCTTAATGAATTGGTTATCTTGTTAAGGTTAGTTGGCTCACCGAGCTGGTTTCTTGTTTCGCAGACGTTTCGTCACCATGCTGGGTAACATCCTCAGTGCAGCCTCCGATGAAGCGTCGGTGTGTTTTCCCGCCTGGTTTCTAAATTCTGGGGTCCGTTGAGATGGATTGCCTCACTTCCGGTTTTCCTTCGTAGTGGAATATATATGGAGTCGAGTTCAATATGTTTATTAATAGCATGCTTTGTGGAGTGCCAGGCTTCTCGGAATTCTCGTGCCTGTCTCTGCCTAGCTTGTCCCAGGATTTTGGTGTTGTCCCAGTCAAAATGGTGGTTCTCCTTGTCCATGTGGATTGAGACGAGTGAGTACTGGTCATGTCTGGCTACAAAAACAACAAGAACTACAAGATGCACAGCAGAAATTTACCAAAGATCATTAGACAGCATCTTTCAAACCTAGGACTACTTTGACCTGGAAGGACAAGGGCAGCAGATACATGGGAATACCACTTGTATTGCAAGAAGAACAAGGGTTGCAGAAAAAGGAGAAAAACACCAACTAAAAGTTTTTTCCCCAAGTCTCTCACTGTATTGAGGAGGCTCACTTATATATCCCCATCTTCAATGATGAAAAAGCCCAACACCGTGTACCATCTTCAGCTGGTTCTTCAATGACCTTTCCTCCATCATAAGGTCAGAAGTGGGTTTGTTGGCTGATGATTGCACAATGTTCAGCATTATGTGTGACTCCTCAGATACTGAAGGAGTACATGTTCAAATGCAACAAGATCTGGACAATATCCAGGCTTGGTCTGAAAAGTGGCAAGTAACATTCATACCACACACGCCAGGCATAAGAGACAATTGAATCACCACCTTTTGACATTCAATGGTGTGACCATCCCTGAATCCACCACTGTCAACATCCAGGTGGTTACCATTGACCAGAAACAAAACTGGACCAGCCACATAAACACAATCTGCACAAGAGCAGATTGGAGGCAAGGAATACTGCAGTGAGTACCTGACCTCCTGACTCCCCAAAGCCTGTCCACCCTCTACAAGACCTAAGTCAGGAGTGTAAATGAATATTCCCTACTTGTCTGAATAGATGCAGCTCCAACACTATTTAAGCTTGACACCATCCAGGTCAAAGTAGCCAACGTGATTGGCACCACATCCACAAATGTCCACTCCCTCCACCACGGTTGCTAAGCAGCAGGTGTTTATGAACTACAAGATGCACAGCAGAAATTTACCAAAGATCATTAGACAGCATCTTTTAAACCTGGGACTACTTCGACCTGGAAGGACAAGGGCAGCAGATACATGGGAATACCACTACCTTGAAGGTGCCCTCCAAGCCACTCAACGTCAAGATTTGGAAATATATCATCATTCCTTTACTGTTGCTGGGTCAAAATCCTGGAAATCCTTCCCTCGGTGCATTGTTGGTCAACCGACAGTGCATAGATTGCAGTGGTTCAAAAAGGAAGCTCACCACCTCCTGGTCAAGGGCAACTAGGGAAGGGCACTAAATGCTGGCCAGCCAGTGACACCCATGAGGAGAAAAAGAAATTGACACTTTGTCAAAAACCTGGCACTGCCTTCCACCACCATGCAGTGAAGCTAACTGTATCAGCACTATCTCACCCATCTTCATCGTTTGGTGCCATGACGGCTTTATTGTCATTCTGCGTTTTTTTTTCTGCAGATGAGTCAGTTGGATCTGGGTCCCAAGCAACCCCAGATCAAGGGCCAGTTCCGGCTCTGAGGTCGCAGAGGCTTCAGCGTTGACAGTGGAGGAGCTCAGCCACCGGCAACCCACAACAGGCAGCAGTGTCTGGACGAACGTTGGAGGAGGAGCTGGAGGTAGGAGACCAGACCATGCCTCCAGCTTGGATGCTGCCATTGCGGGAGTGGCTGTACCGGTGAGGCAGGCCTCTAATCAAGACCGCGGAGCTCGTTACAGAGATCTTGGCCGCCATCAATCAGCAAATGGAGGCGTAGCACAGTAACAGGAAGAGGGAAAGATGAACTCTATTGCAGTAAAATCTTGTTTCATAGAAATTCATAGAATCCCGACCGTGTGGAAACAGGCCCTTCGCCCCAACAAGTCCGCACCAACCCTGAGAGAATCCCACCCAGATCCATTCCTGAAACCCACCTAATCTACACATCCCTGAACACTATGGGCAATTTAGCAATGGCCGATCCACCTAGCCTGCACATCTTTGGACTGTGGGAGGAAACCCACGCAGATACGGGGAGAATGTGCAAGTGAACGATGTCAGACCCAGCTGGCAGATACCGAGACTGCGCAGTTCTTTCCAAAAGTGTAACCCTGAGTTTAAAGTGTGTGAGGGCAGTCCCTCAGGTGGCCGATTGATGGGGGTGTGGGGTGTGGAATCAGGGTGGAAGACGGTAGACCTCGCGCTTGGCCCATCGGGAGTCGGTGCGCGCGAAGCTAAGAGACCGTTGGCGGTTGCAGTTCAAACGGGTAGAAGGTGAAGGCTTCGAACACGTTAGTGCCAGCAACCGTCTGACCCGACGACTTGGACCGGTCTGGCTTCGATTCGATCCGGGGTCGCTTGCCGTTCTGGCCACGGTAGGGTCGTCGACTCGGCATCTTTCCATCCACTGGCTGCTTGTCCCCTCCCGAGGCTGAGGTGGTTGGGAGTTTGCCGGCCGGTTGGGGTCGGTGGTCCGGGTGTGGGAAGGCGGGGGAGGTACACGGAGAGAAACTGTGGCCAAGGGAGGTTTGTGGGTGTCCGGTGGGCCTGGATGTTCGTTTGGTGAGGAGTGGCTTGGTGCGGTAATCGGGAGTTTGGGTGAATGAAGTATGATCGGTTTTAGGGTGGGGAGGGCCGGCAGATGGGCGGGTTGGGAAGTCGGGTGGAGTGGACGAGGGGAAATTCAGGTATTTCGTTAGGGAAAGGAAAGCCGGTGTTTGGAAATTATCAGCGAGGGAATGGGGGTAGTGGGTCCTTTTCCATGGGGAGTTTGGAAAGGGTGATGCTGTGTAGGCAGGGAAGGGCACGTTAGGACGATATGGGGACGCTCGGGGTTGCTGCAGGCAAAGGGTGAGTCGTGGATGAGCTTAGGTTTCCTCAACTGTTGAGAATGAAAAATGTAGTCAACTGGCCTTCTCATTGTGGTAATGTGCTTCCTAAATGTGGAAAAATGGCTAACAGTTGTATTTAGAGATTGCCCTCTTTTTAAACCAAGGTTTTGGTTGAAAATTGATGTTTGAAATGTTTTTATGGTCCACAAGAAGGTATTGAACTGAGGGTGTAATATGAGGCAAGCTACTGTCTCTCTCGGCCTTACGATCCTTTGGACCTCCCTTGATACTCATGGCCGAGCATCCTGTTGACCTGAAGCGTTTCTGTTGAAGGTTCATGCCTGGGGTGGCTGGTAGCCCAGCTTACTGCCCAAGGCACTTGTCCAACAATCATGCTGAAATCCAGCTAGTCAACCTTAAAAGGTTTTTCAGGTTGTTGTTTCCCCACCAAAATTTGTGAACCCTGCTTTTCACAAACTGATTTGTTGTCGAAAGCATGAATTGACCAAAGTGGCTTGGGACTGTACAAAATCCTTAGCTTGTCACAGTGGCCACATGTTCTGTGACCCCGAACTTCCAGTTGTATCCCATTTTAACATGCCACCATGTTACATAGTCAACATTTCTGTCTCAGGCTTGTTGGAGTGTGCCAGTGAGACTCAATGCTGGAAAAACATCTTGTTTTGTGCTTGGGCGACTCTACAGCTGTCAGGACTCAATATCAAGTGCAATTATTTTAGGACCTGAACACCATCTTCCATGTCCTTTACCCACCTCCCACACCTGGCCCTGTCATGACATGGCTGTTTTTAGTGTAGCCACCCCATTTTCACATAGTTAAGTTACCCATTTGCAGTCCTCTTGCTCCCTTGCTTACCATCATCAGTCCCTTTGTCTGCCTAATATTATTTCTGACCCTCTGGGTTCCATCTCCACCTATCACTTTTTGCTTTTATTCCCTGCCCCCACACCCTAATTCTTCAGTGTACATAACAGCTTTTTCTAACTTCCATCAGTTCAGAATAGGGTTCACCGGATCCGAAATGTTAACTGTTATTTTTTTCTCCACACATGTTGCCAGACTGCTGAGTTTGTCCAGCAATTTGTGTTTTCGTTTCAGACTTCAGCAATAGCGGTTCTTTATTTCATCTGTCTGTGTCTGGATTACGATGTCAAGTATATTTGACATATTGACAGTTCCGCAAAGTATGCAGAATTACTGTAAAATGTGTCTGACCGGAAAAAAAGCTGTGCTAAACATTGACAGTCAGTTGCATAAATGGGCTCCAAATCTAAGAACTACAATTTACTAATGTACTTGTATGTTTCAATTATTGGTTGCAAGCTATCACATTTCTGGAAAAGCAAGCTTCTACAGCATGAAAGCACAAGCACGTAAAGCTTAATCTACCTGTTAGAATCAATTTGGAAGTTTCTGCAATGCTTTGGTGCCATGAAGGACCCATCCATTAAACCAAATTAAATTTAACCTGGTCAGTTATTGCTTTATCAACCTGCCAGTCATGAGTGAATTAATGGATGTGTTAATTAATACTGGAAGCAAGTGATACTTCGCAGCAGCAATCTACTTAATGATACCAGGTTGAGGTCACTGATAATTCATTGTAGCATTGAACCAAATGTGGACTCAAGAACTGAATGCCTGTCAAGGATGAGACAAGTCCCTCTGGAAATGTCAGCTTCATTCATCTGTGAAAAACACAAAGGATCATGGACAAAACTGATGCAGTTGGAGTCAGAGGGAAATCGCTCCAGTGGCTGGAGCCATCCTTACACAACGTGAAATCATTGCAGTGTCAGCAACTCATCATTACAGGTTAGGGTAAAGATTTCCTCAGGGAGCCAGCAAAATTAAGCACTTTGGTATTCGGATCCCCTTGCAACAGACAATTACTGTTTGCTAATTACTTGCTGTACTTGGACATTAATGCTTCGTCATTCATGCATGAGGATGTGTCGGTTTGAGCTCTGTACTGTCTCTCACCATTTACATGAAATGCTTCTTTATTACTTCTCCTGCCAAAATAGACAATTTGACATTCTCATATTATACTCCATTTGCTAGATATTTCTGCACTCCTACTGACCGACATCCCTTTGTACCCTCCTGATGCTGTCTTCAGAAGTTAATTTTCCACCAGTCTTTGTCATCAATAAATTTAGCTTTCATGTTTTTGCCCCTTCATCTAAAATCATGCCAGATGTCTGTTGGTGGAAACCATTTACAAGTGCTGAAACCTCAGTCTAATTTGCATTATTGGCATTCAGCCCCTCCTGACTGCTGCTAGACTCTGGTTACAGCCAGTACAATCTATTGCATACCAAATTAATTTCAACAGACTGCAGACTTCAACTGCAATGTTTGTAACAGAAAATCAAAAGCAGTAATGTGGGAGTGCTATTAATTCTGAGTCTGAGTGTCTAAGCTTTGACAACTGTTCGGTCATCTTCATTGTTGGGTTAATATACTGGAACTTTCTTATCAAATAAAATCACAGTCAGTATCACTTCAAAACAAAAACAAATTAAATGGAGAGCTCACTGTCATCTAAGGCAATTGTGGATGGACCATAAATGCATAGTCTAGCACCTGTTGTGAGATTACTTCAAAAATGATATGCAGCCATCGAGAGTGCCGTTGTCTTGGCAAACTTTGCTGAATTTTACTCTTGGAAGAACATGAGAGTTCTCTGAGGATGGCAAATCTTTTGAGCATAAAGCAACTGGGGGTCAGATCTAATTGCAGACTTCTACAGCAGGTGTGCCGTCAGAAGCTGTCACTGACCCTTGTCACACTCCTGTCATCCTAGAATGTGTCGCCAAAGTTCTGCTGGACTTGTAAAGGATCCGTACATCCACCTTCCCAATACCTGGGCCTGGAAAGCCATATATTTCATGATGACTCTTTTGGTTCATTGTTCAAGTCAAATATAAGGGATGTAACAGCAGAGCATTTAGAAATGTATCATAAAATCAAAGTCAGCATGACTTCATGACAAAAAAAAAAGTCTGACAAATTTATTACAGTTCTAAGAGGAGTGAACAAACAGGATAGGTCAAGGATTGCCAATAAATGTGGTATAGTTTCATTTTTCAGAAGGTGTTTGTCAAGATACTACACATAACTTAAGAGCCCATGGTGTTGGGTGTAGTATATGAACATAGATAAAGGGTTAACTAACTCATTGAAGACAGGTGAGTTGAAATAAATGGAACATTTTCAGAATGGCAACCTGTAATGGGTCCAGTGCCACAGGGATCACTGCTGGGGTTATAGTTATTTACAATCTATCCTAATAATGACACCAGGTTTGTGGACCACCCAAAAATAGATGGGAAGGCAAGTAGTGAATCCGACTCAATGTCCGGAGGGATATGGACAAGTGTGTGGGTAAAAATTTTGCAGATGGGATATAATTTGGGACAATGTGAGTCCATGGCTGGAAGAGAAGAACAGCTGGCTATTATTTAAATGGAACAAAGGCTGCAGAAAGCTGAGCACAGTGGGATTTGGAGTTCCTCATGCTAATCACAAAAAGCTAGCCTCCAAGTTCACTGGGTGACAGAAACAGCAAATGGACTGTTTGCCTTTATTCCAGAGGAAATGGAGCATAAAAATAGGGTGTTCTTGTGAAAACGAGACAGCTCAAGTCAGACCACACCTGGAATACGGTGAACAGTTTTGGTCCCCTCATCCAAGGAAAGATGCACTTGCCATTGAAGGCAGTGCACACAATATTGATGTTGATTTCTGGTGTCATGAGAACAGACTGAATGGGTTGGACTTAGATGCATTAGAGTTTTGAACACTGAGAGGGGATTCGGAAGCTTCGGAGGGTAGATGTGTAGAGGTTGCTTTCCCTTGGGGGGACATTTTAGGAGCAGAGGACAGAATTTCAGAGTAATGAGTCACCCACTAACTACAGAAATAAGGAGTTTCTTCTCTCAGAGGATAGTCAACCTAGGGAATCGATTAATTGCAGAGGGCTGTTGAGTCTTGGTTACTCAGGAGATTCAAGGTTGAGATAAGCAACTTTTTAATCTATAAGAGAATCAAGATTTATGGAAAAAAAGGCAGGCAAGTTGAATTGAGGATTATTGGATCAGCCTTGATCTTGTTGAGTGTAACAGCAGTTTAAATAGGCTGATTGGCTCCTTTGTGCTCCTCCTTTTTAAGATCATATGATAAGTATGTGATCGAATTAATGTACTTGGATTGAGAAAGCCTTCTCAAGCTGATGTGAAGTGTGGAAACCGCTCCATACGATGAATGCTGCCATTTATGTCCTGGAGATATTGCAATATAGGCAGTTCACTAAAGGTTTTTCAAATCTGCAACCTAAACAGACAACACTGGAAATGCTGAGCAGGACAGGCAGTGTGTGTGGACAGAAACATTTCAGATCAGTCACCAGGAAATATAGTAGTTCTTTGTGTGGAGAATTTACTTTGAGATGGGCAGTTGTTTTTCTTCTCAAACCCCACCCTGTCTCCCAACTCCACACATCCTTCTCTACAGAGTACCCATTTCTGAAGCATACTGAAAGGACATTCCCTAAGCTATTGTTTAAGTCTGTAAATGGAATTGAGTGCTTTAAAGCACTCTTTCACTGCGGCTCAGAATAGCATTGTAACTGTTGAACAGCAAAATGTAACTGAAATTTCACACTCATTTGAAGTTATTCAATCTTTATCTGAGTTGTTTGCACAGGTCATGGTTGCTCCTTGACATTTTCCCATCATTTTAATTCATTTTTACAATGAATGTGGCCACTGTAATTCACGGACCAATTACAGCCGAGCCTGATGAAGTCCAGTTCTGAAGAAGGGTCACTTGACCTTAACTTTGCTTTGTCTCCATGGATGGTGCTCGATCTGTTGGGTTTTTCCAGCAATTTCTGTTTTTGTTTCAGATTTCCAGTGTCCACAGTTCTTTGATTTTTGTTTATGACAATGTACTTTGCCTTTGTCCACACTGCTACTGGACCCTCCTGGTGCACTGTTTGTTCTGTTCAGTTTTATGTAGTTCTGTTATCCCTTATGGCCACATGCTGGTGTGGGATAAGATGATCAGTATCAATAACCAAACTTCTACATACGAAGAGAAAGTAAAAACTGCCTATGCTGGAGCCAGAGATAACACGGTATGGAGCTGGAGGAGCACACCAGGCCAGGCAGCATCAGAGGAGCAGGA